CAAACTATTTTTACAAGGTTGTTTTCAGGGAGCTCTCCGATCATCCTTTACAGTGCAGGAGGTTGGCGATTCGAATCTCCGTCGATCTGAAATTTTTCTCAGACCACCAAATTTCAAATGGACTTCAAACCCGTCATTTAACCACAGGTTTTATTTACTTTCTGTCCGGGTGGGGAGAGGTGGCATGGGGAGAGAATTTACAGCGCCGAGAAAACTTTGTCTTTGGTCTACAGTCGGTTCGAGTGAAGCTGGCCGTGGCCGTGTCGGTTTGTAGTTGAAACTGTGTGGAGCTACAAGCAGGGTCGCGGTTTGGTGTGCCTGCCTCACGCCCCGACGCCTCTAAAGAGCCACCGGCGAGAAGCGCCCGCCAAACGCTGCATAGGCCGCCCACCACACACGGGTGCTGAGCGGGCGTGTGCTGCGCCAGTGCCCCACGGCGCTTGCTCTTACCGGGGAGTCACCCACCGAGCAGCGACTAGACTCCTTGTCTTTGAATAAAACGTATACCTTTAGGTGACATTATCGAACGTTATTATACCGAGCCCAAACAGAGATTGGCCAAACTAACAGCTCCCTAGCCGGCCTCCGTGTAGCCCTGGTCGCATACTGGCTGCAGTTAGAATTGTAAGATTTACAGAGTACCACTCGACGACTCCGCACTGGAACCAGGGTGTCGCGGGTCCCCTGCACCCGACCTCCGGCACCGCGGGCCCGAAGGGCCCGATCCGGCCAGGGGCCCGGCCCGGGGTTCGGCCCAGCGGGCCCAGGGGCCCCGGAGGGCCTAGAGGGGCCGAGGGCCCAGAGGAGCCGAGGGCGCAGAAGGGCCGACTGGTCCCAAACATCTCGGGCCCGAAGGGCTCGAGCGAAGGGACCGAGCCAAGGGCCCAAGTCCTAGGCGCAACATAGGACCAGGGGCCCCGGCCCTGGGCCCTAGGTTCAAGCGCCATGTAATAGTTTAGTAATCAAAAGTTAATAATAATGGTTCAGGCATAACCAGATTTTTTTAACGCTCACTTCGTTGTTTATTGTACTACAAAAGCACTGCACCTAAATCGCGTCCGAAGGAAACCTGCCCACTTGGTACTTTTACAGTGTTTTTGGTACCCGGAAGCGCCTCTTAGCGCCCTCATACCACACCCAGAAAAATGAATTCTTGAATTAAGCCTAGCCGAGTGCTTGAATTGTGTACAGTTTGAATCAAGACGTTTTTAGCTCACAACAAGAATCTCTGTCTAGATTCAAGCTAGGCGTACCGCAAGCATCGGCTAGTCTTGGTTGAAGCCAAACCCACGTTTTCCCGCCCGCCGTGTTCGTGTACGTGGTGCACGTTCTCAGGATCGCTTCGGCTGAGACCCGACCCGAATCGGACTCCTCCGCTCCCTCTCTCTCGATCACTTGCCTAGGCGTTGTGGAATTATCGGGAATTATATTTTCTGACAAAACGGTAACTCAGTTGTCTCTCTTTCCCAAGTTTCCAGAAACTTAGTCCATCCCCTTTTAGGCCGTTCACAACTACAGAGGCACTGATTTGGAGAAACTGGTTGCGCTCCGGCCTGGGATCGAACCCCTGCCGGACCCGGCTCACTATCCAGCCACCAGGCACAGAGACCACTGAGCTACCACGACAGGTGACGGGACCGCCGCTCTCTACCGACCTGATTCGGATGATTCGGGTACAGTCCAGCTGCTACTACCAACAGTGCGCTGGACTGGCGCGCTCCGTTGTCGAAGCGATAGCTCAGTGGGCTGAGGCGCTGGCTCAGACCGACGGGGCGTGGGTTCGAGTCCGGTCGGCCCCCTACTGACTTTTTGACTCTCGTGTTGCTCTGCGCACCGTATGAGAACAAGCCGATAGCATTCTTGCGTAAACCAAGAAAATATTCTTGGATTAAGAGTGCCTTGCCAATGCCTAAGTATTCTAGGAAAAAATCTGGGTATAACCAAGCCCAGCTCTGTCTCCCAAACGAACAGCGTAAATATTTGGTTAGAAATAATATATGCCAGAATCAAGCCGAATTTCTTGAAGTGAGAATTTTTATTCTTGGCTTGCAATATAAATTTGCCTTGAATCAAGCAGTGTTCGTTTTGATCCAATCCAAGTAAATGAAGCCTAGGTTTTTCTTGATCGGACGCTTTTTTGGGTTTGGTTCAGCCGAGGTGGAAATTTTCTTATTTCAAGCCAATTTGGCTTGGTCTAAGAAATCTTTTTTCTGGGTGCATTCAATAATTTCGCGCTCGCTCCGCTCGCGAAATTTTCCAAGTGGCTGGTATAGTTGGTACGGCGACCTGCTGGAAAATCAAATATTCAAATAAAACAGGTCAGACATGTACAACTTGGGGTGCTTTCTTACGTATAGATTGCCCCTGAAAGGTAGGCAAAACCGGGCCCTCCTTCCCGATTTCCCACCCGGGCCCCTGACCACCTAGTCCGCCCCTGGTTCCGACAAACACGAAAAGAGAATGCTAGAGGACCCCTTCTCTTGGCACTTGCTGTGCTGTTGTGGCGGTACGTGTAGAGGACATGTGAGTCGAAGAGAAGGGGGAATATAGATAAGCTAAAGACTGATAAGAACGCGACAAAAGTGAAGAGTTACTGTGGTCCGCCTTGAGATACATTACTGCACGAGCCACGGTGCAAAGGACGTCGGAAAATGAGAGACAGGCTTCGGGAATTGCAGGAGCACCAGGAGGTGAGTTGTTGTGCATGAAATGGACTCACTTGCTTCCATAGTGGGCCCGGCCGGCTGTTAACACTTTCATTGCGACGTGACCACTATTTGGTCACGCTCTGTCTGTTTTCCCGGCTCCCGAGATGCACAGCCGCAACAAACGTGTTAACGAGCACTTTAGTACTATCCTTTATGGGAACCAAATAATTTATTTCCTGAACAGAGTTTATCAGTGACATCGTCGACATGGTACGACGAGCCCGACAAAAATAGATTAATAGTAGCATCGTACAAAAGCGATGTTAAACACAAAGTGATATCCCGTATGGTAAGACGTAATGTAAACATGATGCTGAATCTAAAGGTAACGTGCCATAAAGTATTCGGATAAACAAACATTTGGTGCAAGTGATGAGCTGTAATTAATACAGCCTGTCACCTTTGTATTGCAGAAACAACAAAACAATGATCCAAAACATTTCGAAAGTTCTGTCAAAAACCTCCAGGATAAGGTAGATCTTTGAAGCATGTCACTGTAATTAACAAAACAACATAGTTTTTCAGTTTATAGTTTCATTAGTTTGTTTATTACAGTTGTCGGTCATACAGAATCATATAAAGGATGTGCAGTATTCGACGAAAAAACTGAAGGAGCTGCACACAAAGGCTCTCATGGCATTAAAAGTATCAACAGGTAATAGATAAGGTATCTAGTAAAATATACGAACTACTCCCGAGTTACTATAGGAGCATTAGTTTAATTTATCTGGAACATGTCTTATTCTCACATTGAAAACTACCGCACGAGTACCTTCCCTTTTCGCTCGCTGTTCTTCATCATTGATTTTCTGTCTAGACGAGGAAGCTGAAATGGGAAAGCTGATCGCCAATGGCAGAGCGGCTGCAAAACTCGCATCTAGTCACTTAGCCGGTAAGCACTCATATCCTTTTAGTAGGTGCACACACCTGGAAGAGGAACAAACAACTCACTCACGAGGCAATCCATATAAAATAACAGAATCTTACTAGGACTGTGTGTGTCAAACAGAGTTGGATCACATGGGCATCGATGGCGCTCCCGAGATTCAGAGTAAGCTAACCCACATTAGACAAAATCAGGTGTCCTACGTCCGTCTGTGCTTCATGACCGCCATGGAACAGTTTGAAAGGGAGCTCGATCGCTATGCCAAAGGACTGCGCCAAATCGTATCAAAACAGATTGCTATTGGTAAGTAATCACCTTGTTGATCATTAAAATGAAAGGTTGGATATGTACACGATCAATCAAACGAACTTTCTGGCGCAATCTGAAAGCTTACTGAGTGAACTTATTGTTTAGTGAGTGGTGACACAGACCCCGCCCACACGCAGGACTGCATAGATACGGGGAGGATACTCGCCTTTGTCGATAACGTAAGAATAAAGCGGTTTCTTTGTCCAGTTTCGGACGGAGCGGGCGTATACGTGCGCACGCGCCTCTCAGCCAACGGCCGGCCCCTGCACGGTAAAAACAATGTCTATCTTTTTGAGAGAAAAGGGAAAACCGAGAAAACGTTGCGAAACTCGCATTTTTAAGGAAATCTGCAAAAACTAAGAAAATACCTACATTTTTGAGGAAAACTCCACATTTTTTGAGGATTTTCGCAAAGAATGTGGAAACTTTCCTTTTTTTTTCTAGAAGGTTTCCTAATGTGAGGTTTTGCCCTTTTTCTCAAAAACGTCACTCAGTGTTTTTACCGTGTGCGTCCTGCGCCACTAGGCAAACCTCTCCAGCGCGCGCACAAGAAACGCCAGGAGCTCTCTTATGGACTCACCAACGACATGACACTTATCACTCATATCTTCGTGACACAGTACCAGCTGGAGGAGCAGCAGGCCAAGGATATGCTGGAAGCAGTGTCTCAGCGCCAAACGGAACTCGAGGCGCTCGAGAAGTCGATCACTGAAGTGCGAGACTTGTTCGCCGACGTGGCTGTGTTGATCGCCATGCAGGGAGCGGTGGTGGACAATATTGAGATGCTCGTCGAGAGGGCCGCTGCGGAGGCGACGAAGGGTAACAAGCAGTTAAAGTCTGCCGGGAAGAAACAGAGGTCCGCGCGCAAGGTGGGTCCACTTACCAAACTTCATACTGGTTACTGTGACAGCTACAAACAGGGCGTGGTTTACACAGCATTGAAACGCAACAGCATAATTACTAAGTGGAGATTATTAACATGCGACCAATCACTGCACTGACAATGAGACAGTGTTTGAGCATTGGAGTAGATATTTTCTCCAGGTGTTAACGCCTAACGGAGCGTATAATAACATACTGTTTTTGTTGTTTTTATTTTCAGAAAAAAATTATTTTGGGAGCGATTGGTAGCGCCGTTGCAGTGGGGCTGATAACGTTAGTGGCCATATGACGGACAAGTCAAGACAAGGCTGTTCAACCACCAATAACCTATTTTGCCGAAATAAAGATATATTTTTGTATTTTTACCACAGATTTTACAGAAAGACTTTTTTCTACGCGCCTTGTTCCCGGCGCGGAGAAGGAAGGGGTGGGTACACGGTGGTGCGGGAACGGGGTGGAGTGGGGTGGG